TTCAACATACTTTATGCATGCCAAACACAATATCACCAATTTTTAAGAAATTACAGAAGTACAGAAATCTCAATAAGGAAATGTATATTTCAATATCAGGGGAAAAAAAATATTTCTGTACACAGGATGAACAATCTACTGTGTTAATTCATTTTAATTCATTTAAAACTATTTAAATTGTTTTAACATTTGTTTAACATTGTATTAATATTTTAAAGAATCGACTAAAATTTAAGCAACAGCAAGCAACAATTTGATTAATGGATTATTCAGTCAGTTATTCAAGTTCTCCATTCTATTAAAATTGGGGCTACTTGGGGAACAAACACTCCGTGTGTGTGTGTGTGCCCTGCCCCTTTCTGTGGAATCGCCCCAATGAAGTCATGTGATTTCAGTCACAAGACATCTATGCTAAAATTATAGTAAAAGTCCTGTTGACTAAATTTTGTTAGAACAGGAAATAAACACACTGGAGTTTAGGTGTCCCAGATTACCCAATGTCCCAGATTACCCGAATTCACCCATATATATATATATATATATATATAAGTGTTTTGATTATGGCACCAGTCTTTGGTTAATGTTACATGAAGAAACTTGTTTTATTCTTCAACATAAATTATGCACACTGGAAATTCCAGAGGGAACACACTGCTCGAAAATGCTAATTCTCTTCCATAATTTAGGAGTAGCTACTCCACCTGAAGTTAGTTGGCAGAAAAAAACAATTAATTGCGTTGTTTTCATCCTTTGTTTACTATTCTAATTTTGTTCAGCCCCTTTAGACCACCTTACCTCACAGTCTGTCCTTTGGTGAGCGAATTCCCGTGCGGCCTTCAAAGAGCGCGAGCGACTCTCTCAAATTGCTGTATTGATTCAGAGCCTTTCAGAGAAGAGCCGGAGACAGCCACTCTTCCTGGAGCACTTGGACAGAAATTGGTTTTATAGTGCTACGTCAGCCCAGTGGGTAATGAGGGAACACGTTAGTCATTGTGACAACTATATTCTCCATCTTCGTCTGAAGTGCGCGACAAATTAAGCGTCGCTGGCATATATTTAGACGGTCTCGCTCAACTGTTTTTAAGCACCGTCATAAATAAAGTAGCAGTGTGCTGAATTCTGATCTCCCTCAGAAAGACAGCTGTCAGCTACACAACACTGATGGCGTCTGAATGAAAAGAAGAACCTGGCTGAGTTCCTCTCATTCTGTTTGGTTATTCTGCTTCATTGCTTCGGCTTGAAAACAATTTGGCTGTGATCTCAAGGGAATATTGGCAAACTCTGAAGTATATTGCAGTCTTATTAAAAAGTGTGAAAAACTGAAACAAAATATGTTTTGTGAAAATATTATGCATTATAAACATTGGGTTGATCTTCCTGTAGTCTATTCTTTCTGAGGCGTCAATGTTAAAGGGGTGGTTGATTGCGATTTCACTTTTTTAACGTTAGTTAGTGTGTAATGTTGCTGTTTGAGCATAAACAATATCTGCAAAGTTACGAAGCTGAAAGTTCAATGCAAACGGAGATATCGTCTTTTTAAATTCTGGCGGTTTAATGCCTACAAAAACGGCTGGTAGGGACTACAACAAGTTACTTCCTGAGTTCGTGACATCACAAACCCAGATAAACCCCGCCCTCGGGAAAAGGCAGCAAAGGGGGCGAGGCCATGCTGCGCTGCTTTAGAGAAGAGGACGAGAAAACTAGAGGTGCATGTAAAAATCTGTTCATATATGAATCGCGATTCTGTCTTCTAACGATTCTAATTGAAGTTTCAAAATCAATGTTCTAAAGCAGCAGTTCTCAATACTGTTCCTCGCGTTCCCCTGCTCTGCACACCCTCTGCATCTCTCTCTCTCTCTCTCATTCAGCTCAACTCCAAAAAGGAACTGTTACAATTATACTTATTTTCACATAGCTATGAGAAGCATTAAACATGGACGTGCGTGCAGTTGCCGTACTGTATTAAAGCTTTAATCAGGATAAAACCGTATATTAAAAGCTAACATAAGCAGTAGCATTTATACATAACAGCATATCTAGAAGAATGAGACAACAACAAACAAAAAACATAGGCCTACCATTAAAAGCACACACTGGGCTAGCTAACCAATCGGAGCCCATCGCCTATTTCTGAGGGCGGGGCTTCTTAAAAACAGGAAAATATCAGCCTGTTTCTCAGAGAAGGGACAGAGCGGTGTGGAATAAAGGTAAATTATGTGAAAAAGAATGCGTTTTTTTTTAACTAAGCATTAACACATGTTAGACTGCACTCCATAAACACAATCAAGCCTAGAAAAAAACCAGTGAACCCCCCCTTTAAAAGCTAAAATGATTGTCTAGGTATAAGTGTGTCCGACTCTGCGGTCATGGCACAAAAATACCATTAAAATTGACATTTGAAGAATACTGTATATTAAACTTTTTGTCTTGCATAACAATGAAATTGAACAAACTCAATGTTGATCCATTTTCAGCTAATTACATTTTCTGAATTGGAATCTGTGCAAAAGATTGTGGGCGACAGAAGGACACCATTATTGATTCTTCAAAACAGGCTGAATGAAGGATGGGAAATGAAGATTGCTTATTAAGGAGCTTTCAACTCTAGACATACAGGTTTATGACGGGGCATTTTTAATCCAGTTTTCTATATTTAAAAAAAAGAACACTAACTTGGCACTAACTTGTAGTATACTGCATACAATTTTTTTTTAAAGTAGGCACTCCAAAGGAGTATCACACTACACTGTCACCCGATTGTCACATAAAAATAGTTATTTAGCATTTTTATTCATTTTGAATACAAAAAATATTTGTACTTTTTGAAACCTGATGAACTAAAATGTCAAAATCATTAAAAACGTCAAGTTGAGCACATTGCATTATGACATAGCCTAATATTTCTATACTTGTGTGCGTTCTGACAAATTTAGGTTGCAATATTCACTGTATAACCATTTAAAACATAGCTTTCTCATGAAAAATGAGTGAAAATCAAGGCTAATGTTTACTTCCAGTTTAACCTCACTGAAAATGGAGGGTCAAGTCAAGCACTTTGCCTTATATTTAGGGATATTCAGATATAGTAAAAGTAATATGGAGGTAAGAACATCGCTTTTGTATGTGGACTTGCAAAACTTGATCTGGTTTTGTGTACACAGGCTGTTTGACTGCTAGTGTGTATTTCACAGTTTGGTTGTGAGCAATACAGATTAATACATGTTTCATCTCAATGTTTTTCCTGCGTGAGCAATAGCTTTTGGATCAACATAAATCCCCATGTTTTCTTTCCTTTACAGCGTACATCAGAGTGTAACACCCCCTCCCAGCTGAAACCTAATGAACCTCAGAGTCAGACCTCAGCATGTGGTTCTGAACAGAAAAACTACTGTAATTAGACCCATGAGGGGGATTTTCTCTGAATCTCTTTGAAACCTCCTATACATGACTCACAGAGCTCAGCGTTTGCTGCACATACTGGAATGACACCACAAAACAGTCAAATACAGCACAGTTTTATAAGATTGTAATAGTCAGCAAGCTGTTGATGAAATGGGCTTGTCTTCTCATTCTCTCTCTATTTTAAATGAGTGTTAATTCATTAAAGTAATTAATTGAATCACTTTCACAGAACAATAAACCAAGACTTGGATCCAGAATGAATTCATCACAATGGCTGTGTCCGAAACAGAACCAGCGGCCGCACTGCCCAATCGATGCCTTAACGGATAGCATTTTGAATGAAGGTGTCGCCTGAGGAAACTAGTTTTAGATTGGCTTCTACTCTAATGCACCAGTGAATTTTAAGGAGATAGCCAAGTGACTGGACACAGAATCATATGTTGAAAAAAAAAAAAAAGATAGAAATGAATTTCTGTATATTTCAATGTTTCAAGTATGGAATTTGTAAAGGGTTTAGCAATTTCCTGAATTCCCCAATTATTAATTCACTAACAATGACTATTAATTAATTACATAATTCATAATTATAGGGTTTTTGCATTAATGGCCAACCCCAATTAACAATAAATATAGAACTAGAAAATGTCCTATTTTATTTCCAAGATATAGCCTACTGATTTAAACTCGAATCAGTGATCTTTTCAGAACCGTCTGAAAGAACCGATTCAATAGATTGATTCGCACTTTCCAAACATTAGAGAGAGGGAGAGAGAGAGACGCAGTGTTGCCAACTTAGCAATTTTGTTGCAAGATTTAGCAACTTTTCAGACTACCCTAGCAACTTTTTCTTCCAAAAGCACCTAGCAGCAAATTTAGCTATTTTAAAAAATGTATTTGGCAACATTTAACAAATTTTGATAAGTGACTCGATCGATAAAAAAGGCACACATTTTCCATCTAAATTACACAAAAAGAGGAAACCAAAGGTGCCTAGCAGTACACAATTCACATGAATTAAGTTGGCTGCGTTTATCAACTTATACATTTCTGTTCCATAATCCCTATGAATAACAATTTAATTGGCGATTCTATATAAGTGATAAGAAGCTGCAAACGTTTTACAAAATACACATACCCATCTCTGTACCAATAAATGTGCAACACTTTACATAGGCCAACACATAATTTGTGTACAATCTAATTAACTTACAACTTCTCACAATTTCAGAGTTCCTGAAAATGCTCCAAAAGCTGTTTTAGAGATTTGGTGTATGTTAAATACACTGAGTATAGACATGATTACATGACATGATACAACAGATATGATTGTTGACTAAAGATATAGATACAACAGATTGTTTTCTAATTTTATTTCCAAGCCATTCAAATTTCTGGCATCTTTGGGTGAAGCAGTGCCCAAATTTTTCCAAATATTTTTCCACTTTCTCAAATCTTTCCTCTGCCAGATTTGGCTGGAAACATGCATGTGCGAGAACAGTTAATGAAATATTTTGTTTGTCTTTTCTTGTCTTTTTTATTGAACCAGTTCTGAACAAAAAAACAGAAATATACAAGAATTTGGCATATAATAGTTTTAAAACCTAAAGAATAGGTTATGCTGCCTTCAAAAACCAGATGAAGTATGATGTTATGCAAACATTGGACAGCCTTTTGATATTTTTTTGGACACAGCCAGTGTTGAAAGGTAAACGAATGGTATTTAAAATATGGCGAAATAACCCATCAGTCATTGAGGTCATCCCAATATTTATTGAGTTCACATACGATTATTTCCAACAGTTTGGTGTCAGGAATATTACAATACACTGCTTTCTGACAAAAACACTGACTTGGATAATGATAAACCACAAACACAATATCAGTTCATCTATACAGACAAAAAACACAACATAGGTGAAAGATTAAATAAGTCTGTGTGAATCTTAATGATCTTTATAGTTTCAGATGCCATTCAGCATATTTCCTCGAGCAACATTCTTGATAATTTGGCAAAAAATACCCCTGGTTTCTGGTCTTAAACAGAGGAAATACTGTCACACAATTGGTTAACACTTTGAGGTGGATATTTTCAAACACCTTGACATTAATGATGGATCTGTTCGTATTTATCAAAAAATAACATAAAAGGAAAGTATTGTATTGAAAAAAATCTATGTACTAGTGGGAACCAGAATATCACATTTTATTCCTGACAGATGATAGCAAAAGGCAAATTGCCTCTTCACCTCATCTGCCCCCACCCTCACCCCCAATCAACCCATGACCCCCCCCACCCGAAAACAGAGCAGTTTATCTGACATGCAACTCCCTGCCCTAATGGTGCCAGGGACGCCCTGCATGGGCGCGATTTATGATTTCACCACCTGCTTCTTCTTCTGGAACTTTCTGAACTGCGATTGGATGGCGACGGCTGCCTTCTCCGTCTCGGGGGCGCCCATGTCGATGTCAATGTCCTCAGCTGGGACGTCCTTCTTGGAGGGGTCTGTGGGAACGTCACATTGTGTATTGGATCGATATTATGCACTGCATTTCTGTTGCAGTTCTGCAGTTAGGCTTGACTCTACTTTTTATGGTTGATCAGGTTTGACCTTTACATAGACCTTTGTGCTCTGCAGTAGCTGTATTTTCAATTGCACAAAAGGTTCTTTATAGTGGAAAATTTGGTTCTTTTAAGAACTGTTCACTGAAAGGTTATTTGGGGAACCAAAAATTTTTCTTTTATGGCATTGCTACAAAAACTCCCTTCTGGAACCTTTATTTTAAAGAGTGTATTTCTGAAATTAAAGGACTAATAAAAAATGAGCAATTCTGTCATTTACTCCCTTTAATGTTGTTCAAAACACATATGACTTTGAAAAGTCAAAAATATATTTTTAAGTGTATTTACTCATATATTTGCATTTTTAGAAAATAACAACTTTGAAAATTTTATTTTGTTCCTCACACAAAGCTGCTGTGATCTTCAACTTTTTTTTTTTTAAGAAAGGCATAAAAGTAATGTAAACACTTTACAGTAATGTAACACTTTACTTAAAGCCTTTATGTATAATGCATTGTAAAGGGTATAATGCATTATAATTATTCATAAGACGTGTTGTAATAATTATATTTTGTAGTCATAGATAATTATAACCGAATTTAAAATGCATAGTGAACAATGAATTGATAAGTATTATATAATGTATTAACTGTGGTTCCAGTTATTCACGAGATTGTACAATGCATTAAGGTGCATTACAAGCCATAATTAATGCATTAAAACTACTTTTATAATTCATTATACGTAAAGGCCTTAAGTGAAGTGTTACCAAAAATACTTGTACAACATTTATTGAACTTAGTTATTTCTACATTTAATAATACATTATTAAAATTAAAAGCTTTATCTGTTGATCGTTTAATAGTCCTGACCTAACATGAACCAACAATGAACAGTTGTATTTATTAACTAATGTTAACAAAGATCATTAAATACTAAAACAAATCTCAAATGTCAAATCCCTCTTAAGTTAACATCAAATGTCAAATTGCTTTTAAAGAGGTAGTTCACTCAGAAATGGAAATTACCCTATGATTTACTCACCCTCAAGCCATCCTAGGTATATATGATTTTCTTCTTTCAGACGAATACAATCAGGAGTTATATTAAAAAAATATCCTGGCTCTTTCAAGCTTTATAATGGTAGTGAGTAGTGGTTGAGATTTTAAAGTAAAATAAAGTGCATCCATCCATCATAAACAGTACTCCACACGGCTCCGGGGGCTTAATAATGGCCTTCTGAAGTGGAAGCAGAGCGTTTGTGTAAGAAAAATATCTATATTTAAAACTTTATAAACCGTAATCTCTAGCTTCTGCTAACTGTCATACGTGCATTCACGAGAGAGTGACGTTCCAGAGGATGATGTAGGACGTATGTGTAGCGTAAGCTCTGGTGGGAAGTAACGAACACAGAAGTGCATAGGAGAGAGCAAAACAAAACACAGGTCACAAATTAGAAGTAGGGTGATTGCAGGTAAAGTGGGCTACTTTTTGTAAAACGTGTAATTTTAGATACCTAGAGGTTTTTTTCTTCTTTCTTTTCTTTATTACTTTTGTTAACTTTAATGTGCAGAAATATAATATTTCAATTTGAATATGGTTCATATAAAGAGTTATTTGCATATTATATATACCAATAAACATGTTTAGATCATGCACTCCAGAAAAAAAAAAATTTTCAGGTAAAGTGGGCCATCCCTTATTTATTTCTAAATTATTCTGCATCTTAATTAAAAACACATGATTTATTAACACATATTATCAGACAAACATATTTAACAAATCCCAAAATATATAACCAACAAGTTATGAGTAAAATAAATCACGTGCAAATCCTCATCTTAATTCATGTGTGAAATTCCAAACAACTGAAAGATCATGTTGTGCTGACATTAAATTTTATTAAATGTGAATATAAGAATTTTCAGAAATCAGAATATTAACAAAATGAGCTCTACAATGTTAAAAATGTGACTATAACACAATCAACAACAAATAGGCTAAAAAAATAAGAACATTTAAAATGGTAACCATATGTCAAAATGTTTTTCTGTCCATGTTCTCTAAACTGTTTAATGAACTTTAATTGTGTCCATATTTTAAAGCTTTATATTCTGCATCTACATTTTGCTCCTCTCATACTTTCTTCATTCCACAGATTGAACTGAATGCCTCAACATCCTTTCCTTTCTTCCATCTCTGACTGATCTCCATCAAAATGTTGCTACCGTATTTTTTACGGTAAAATTCTGGCAACCACAGCTGTCTTTTTTTTTTTTTTACCGTAAATTTTACTTTTATTTTTTTACAGTGAATGTCCTATATATCATCCGCTGGAATGCCCCTCTTGTGAATGCACATACGACAGTTAACGGAAGCTAGAGATTACCATTTATAAAGTTTTAAATATGGATATATTTTCTTATACAAACACGTCTATTCACTTCAGAAGGCCTTTATTAGCCTTGTGGAGTAATTTTATGATGGATGCACTTTATTTTGCTTCAAAATCTTGACCACTACTTGCTGCCATTATAGCTCCAGGACATGTTTTAATATAACTCCGACTGTATTTGTCTGAAAGAAGAAAGTCATACACCTAGGATGGCTTGAGGGTGAGCAAATCATAGGGTTATTTTCATTTTTGGGTGAACTATTCCTTTACGTTAATGTTATTTAATGCATTAAAAGTGTTTTTTTTTTTAAAGTGTAAATTTCTCGTTTTTCATTTATGTGATCAGAACAACATGATGATAATGATGAAGTGTTACATAACCATAAGAAAAAGTCATTTAAAACAACATGAGGCTGAGTAAATATTGACAGTTTCATTTTTGTGAGATCTATTCCTTTAATGGCACACTTTATTAAAAGACTGTTTCTTTACTAATCTACACTTACCTTCAAACATAAATCATATTGCATTTTCTACAAATATTGTTTACACTGTGTGAGAGAGAAGGAAAAGTAATGCAAACTTGCAAAAGACTCTGTCTTGACTTTATCCAGATAATAAGATGCACAATTCCACTGTGGAGTAGTAAATTATACCTTGTCCACCTGAGGGTTTGATGTTTCCAGCTGATCCGGATTCTTGTCTCTGTAAACAAACAAAAATAGAACCAAGATTAATGTCTGTGGAAATATTGAGAAGAAATCCCTTATAGCCGATGAATGACTAGACAGGCATTGAAGATGTCAGTTTTCTGTCTCATTAGCTGATCACAATTTAGTGCTTCATATCCTGAATTAATAACTCTGTGTGTACAATGAATTTCAAACACTTCAGAAGAGCTTTGATGCTCTGACGCTAAAGCAATCTTCCTGTGTGTGTGTGTGTGTGTGTGTGTGAGCTCTACAATGTTAAAAATGTGACTATAACACAATCAACAACAAATAGGCTAAAAAAATAAGAACATTTAAAATGGTAACCATATGTCAAAATGTTTTTCTGTCCATGTTCTCTAAACTGTTTAATGAACTTTAATTGTGTCCATATTTTAAAGCTTTATATTCTGCATCTACATTTTGCTCCTCTCATACTTTCTTCATTCCACAGATTGAACTGAATGCCTCAACATCCTTTCCTTTCTTCCATCTCTGACTGATCTCCATCAAAATGTTGCTACCGTATTTTTTACGGTAAAATTCTGGCAACCACAGCTGTCTTTTTTTTTTTTTTACCGTAAATTTTACTTTTATTTTTTTACAGTGAATGTCCTATATATCATCCGCTGGAATGCCCCTCTTGTGAATGCACATACGACAGTTAACGGAAGCTAGAGATTACCATTTATAAAGTTTTAAATATGGATATATTTTCTTATACAAACACGTCTATTCACTTCAGAAGGCCTTTATTAGCCTTGTGGAGTAATTTTATGATGGATGCACTTTATTTTGCTTCAAAATCTTGACCACTACTTGCTGCCATTATAGCTCCAGGACATGTTTTAATATAACTCCGACTGTATTTGTCTGAAAGAAGAAAGTCATACACCTAGGATGGCTTGAGGGTGAGCAAATCATAGGGTTATTTTCATTTTTGGGTGAACTATTCCTTTACGTTAATGTTATTTAATGCATTAAAAGTGTTTTTTTTTTTAAAGTGTAAATTTCTCGTTTTTCATTTATGTGATCAGAACAACATGATGATAATGATGAAGTGTTACATAACCATAAGAAAAAGTCATTTAAAACAACATGAGGCTGAGTAAATATTGACAGTTTCATTTTTGTGAGATCTATTCCTTTAATGGCACACTTTATTAAAAGACTGTTTCTTTACTAATCTACACTTACCTTCAAACATAAATCATATTGCATTTTCTACAAATATTGTTTACACTGTGTGAGAGAGAAGGAAAAGTAATGCAAACTTGCAAAAGACTCTGTCTTGACTTTATCCAGATAATAAGATGCACAATTCCACTGTGGAGTAGTAAATTATACCTTGTCCACCTGAGGGTTTGATGTTTCCAGCTGATCCGGATTCTTGTCTCTGTAAACAAACAAAAATAGAACCAAGATTAATGTCTGTGGAAATATTGAGAAGAAATCCCTTATAGCCGATGAATGACTAGACAGGCATTGAAGATGTCAGTTTTCTGTCTCATTAGCTGATCACAATTTAGTGCTTCATATCCTGAATTAATAACTCTGTGTGTACAATGAATTTCAAACACTTCAGAAGAGCTTTGATGCTCTGACGCTAAAGCAATCTTCCTGTGTGTGTGTGTGTGTGTGTGCCACTCGTTTTCTGCTGATGGCATTCTGTATGGATCTGGTTACAGTGGAAAGCGTGTCATTATATGCAGAAGGATTATTCCACACACACACACACACATACACATACATGCGCACACACTGACACAATCATATTAGTCTCGCTCTCTCTTTTCCTCTGTCTCCTTCTACCTCAATCAATCCTCTTGCGTTCAGTTCTTTCTTTGTCTTACAGGCTCTGATAAACGTGTGGAATTTGCACAAGAATGTTTGGCAGGGGAAAATCTGGGAACGCTTCACGTTGCCCAAATACAAAATGCTCGGTTATTGCTTTGCATTAAGGAGCCGATGCAAATAAGTCATCCTGCTGGATGGGGTAGCAAATAGTTTCGTGGCTGTTGTGAGGATGGTGAAGAGCGCTGCTGCATAAATTACAGTCATTTGAAATGTCATACAGCGTAGAGAGTTGAACGCATATGCACTCGGTGCTACATTGCACGATTAAAGCTTGAGAAATTAAATAGATGCTGAAATGTGAGCCCAAATTCCCAATCAGTCAAGTCGGTTCAAAGCAGCTGCACAATATTAAACAGGAAAATAAGAATAAGAATAAATGTTGAAATTTCATCGAATTTCAGACAAAATTCTGCTGTAAAGCAGGTTTAACAAGATAATAGTGTCGTTGTCTAGCTCAAGTCAGTTCAATGTTGGTGCAGTTCAGTTCAATAACTGTAAACTTCGGAGTTGAACGCATATGCACTCGGTGCTACATTGCACGATTAAAGCTTGAGAAATTAAATAGATGCTGAAATGTGAGCCCAAATTCCCAATCAGTCAAGTCGGTTCAAAGCAGCTGCACAATATTAAACAGGAAAATAAGAGAATAAATGTTGAAATTTCATCGAATTTCAGACAAAATTCTGCTGTAAAGCAGGTTTAACAAGACAATAGTGTCGTTGTCTAGCTCAAGTCAGTTCAATGTTGGTGCAGTTCAGTTCAATAACTGTAAACTTCAATTATGAAACAAATATTCAGCAGCAGCTCTACAGAAGACAATAGTGCCATTATTCAGCTCAAGTCAGTTCAATGTTGATCCAGGAGGAAATATTAGAAAGTTCTTTAAAAAAAAACAATACAGATATTAAGAATGATTTGATGCAGATGCTGGACATTTATTTGTGCATTAATGTCCCCATCTTTACATTTAAGTTAGTTTTGTCGTAAAGATATTTAAAAAAATATACATTTTAAAATGTTTTAAAAAAATACACAATTTAATAGCACTAAATATAATCATTTGAAAAAAAAAATCTAAATGAATATCCCTTTTTCATATTCTACATTATAGTGTTATAATAGAAGAAAGTAATCAGAATATATGGCTGTTTTTGAATGCATTGTTTTAAAAAAAGATAATCGGATTTAGTTTTACATGAAAATACTACACTGGAAAAACTATTTTTTTTTTTACTCAGAAATGTAACAATTAAAAAATTACCAAAAAAGGCAGGTAACACATTGAATTTAATTTTGAAGGCGAAAGACTGAAATAGTATTTTCTTATAAGGCATACGCCAATAATTACTCGCCATGCTAACTGTCTGCACAAATCATTGCACAAAGTGAAACACTCTCAGCCAATAAGAAAATGTTAATGTTTAATGAACAGTTAAATAGAGCAGAATTTTGGACCAATTGAATTTTACTGTGGGCGGGGCCATCCAGTTTAACACCACGGATCTAGAAAAGCTGCTGACTAAGTGTCCTGTGACTCGTTGGTCGTGGCTTATAAGAATAAAAATCACTTATTGTGGTATAAAGGTCAGTATGAATTAATGTATGTCAGGGCAGTTTATTCTGCTCCAGCACTTCTCATTTTCAAACCCATTTCTAACCGCGCTGTAGGTACAAACCCGCAGTGAGACCCCCGCCCTGCCTCGGTTTCTGATTGGAAAGGGGTGAAATGAGGGAAATCTCCTCACTGCAGAGCAACGCTCTCCTGTTTCTAATCCTGTTTATGTGAGGAAACTGGAGTGAGGAGCAGAGGGAGACATTTTCTGGCAGAATCAATATCAGCAGGGTTACATCCCTCCGTTCTGACAGTCTTAAACCACACAGACTTAAGAGCTAAGGCCATTAAACTTGCATTAATACATTGGGCTCTGGGGAGGCACAAACAAATGCATTAATTGGAGTGAAGTGACAGACAGCGGTGTGGCATGTGAAGATGCGAGTCTGAGTGTGGTCAAATAAGGGCGAGAGAGAGATTTTATTCAATTTATTTAGCTAATCAGATGGACATCTGAGCATAGCCAATTTAAGGCAAGCCAGTTCAGCCAGCTATCTATGTAGGCAAGGGTTTACTTTAACTACAGAAATCTGTTACTCAAAATTATGCTTTGATCAGTGTTATTTTAATATTATTTATATATTGTTAAGAATTTCAGTTAGCTTTTATTTCATTGTAATTTTATGTACCCAGAGAATATTTTTTGTGTGCAAAGAAAACAAAAATAATGATTTTGTTCAACAATTGTTCTCCCCCACGCGCTGTCTGCTGCCATTATTGATAGTACCAAAGATGAACGAAGCTCTTACGGGTTTGGAACGACATGAGGGTGAGTAATTCATGATAGGATTTTCCTTTTTGGGTGAACTATCCCTTTAAAATGTATTTCAGTGAGTTGCCAAGGTAACATTTCTAAAGTTTTTAAGGTTTTATATATTCTATCATTTTAGCTTGATTTCAGTTACAGAAAATTATATTTAATAGTTTTATTTTTAGTTAACAATAACAACACTGGTATAATATTCGGTATATTTCAAATCAGCAGAAATGCAACAGTCGTAACACATTTTGCTCTTTTCAAGTTATGAAAACATTAATTCTGAATGTTCTCCCAATGTTCAAAATGTCCAGTTTTTTTAATGTTTATGCGAAGGATAAAGAAACATGACATTTTATCATTTTGCAAACATTATGGGATTGTTACTATTTAATGTTCTCTGAACGTTCAAAACATAAATTTTTTTAAATGTTTCAAAAATGGTTTTCCTGCGAACATTAACATTCAGTAGCATTATCATTTTGAAAACATTGTGGGAATGTTACTTTTAAACATTTGGGGAAAAAAAAAAAAAAGTAGTAACATTTAAAAAATGTCAGATAAACATCCAACTAAAACCTTGAACAATGTATAAATGTTTTTGTTTGAACATTTTGAGAACATTATTAAAGACCACATAAACGTGGAATAAAAGTTCTATTAACATTACTGAAAGAACATTTGTTCATAACTTTAAAAGATTCTTTCCAGAACCTCTGCAGTCCAAAAATGCAAACGACAATCTTGGTTATCCAAAAGAAAAGCAGGGATACAAAGTCACATTAATGAGAGAATGACTGCAGGAAATAATTAGTTAATGCATAAACAGAGGATTCTCCATTTGGAAGCGGTGAGCAGAGAGAAGCTGTTTTGGATGAAGCTTTTCCTCCTCGTTCTCTCTTTCTCTCTACCGCCATATGCTTCCCCCATATTGTTTGTTCATTATGAACAATGATGAAAACGATGATCGCAATCATAAACTTCATTAGCTGCAGTGAAGCAAGGATTGGCAATGAAACCCATGTGTACATCACGGGGCAATTAAAATTTTAAGAGAACAGGATGTTTGCTGCTTCTCAGTGGACAAACACACTCAGACCCAAAGGGCTGCAGTGGATGAGAATCACAGCATATAAAAACATGAATAAGAACCCCTTTGCCTATTGGTTATCCAAAAGAAAAGCAGGGATACAAAGTCACATTAATGAGAGAATGACTGCAGGAAATAATTAGTTAATGCATAAACACCGGCTCCATTTGGAAGCGGTGAGCAGAGAGAAGCTGTTTTGGATGAAGCTTTTCCTCCTCGTTCTCTCTTTCTCTCTACCGCCATATGCTTCCCCCATATTGTTTGTTCATTATGAACAATGATGAAAACGATGATCGCAATCATAAACTTCATTAGCTGCAGTGAAGCAAGGATTGGCAATGAAACCCATGTGTACATCACGGGGCAATTAAAATTTTAAGAGAACAGGATGTTTGCTGCTTCTCAGTGGACAAAAATGCTCGGACTCAAAGGGCTGTAGCGGATGAGAATTACGACATGTAAAAATCTTTTTACCTGGCCTTTAATGTCAGGGGTGGAAAATAAATCTAATGTCAAGCATGACTCAGGTGTCAAGACTCGCAGACTTCTGCAGATCCAAGCTTTGCAGTGAACTGAACCTGATGCCACAGAGATGCCCTGAGCTCAGCACACCAGTGCCCTTCAGAGCAATGCTTGGCACTGCCACTCGACGCTGCAACAGCATCCCGCTCCTCGCAGTTTGAGCATGAACTGCTGCGACGCTAATGAAGAACCTCATTTATTTCCACTCACTCTGACAGCTGGATTCACTAATTAATAGAATTGCGTTTTAAACCCCATTTACAGACGGTCATTGAACCGAACGCTGACAGCTTCCTCCTCAAAGGTGATTTATGGACATTCTTCTGGTTTCCAAAAAGCTTTTTTTTTTTTAAACCAACAGCGAGTACAAATCATGCAGCTGATAGCTGTGTCTATAAAAATGCGAATCAAACACTCTCCACTAATGATTCACACTCAAAAAAGCAGCAGATTTTACACCTCTCCCAAATTCTTGTTAAACAACTGAGGAATGTACAAAAAAAAATACTGTTCCTTTTATTATTCGAAGCCTTTTGGAGAGCTATTTTAGATTGATTTGGCAGCTCGAGAACTTGGAAGGGCTTCCATGCTGTTCTCAACATCTATTAAGAATTTAAGGGAGAAACACACAACTAGGACACAGACGGCTAAAGGGGGGGCGGGGGGGGGGGGGGGGGACTGGGATCCGATGCGTCATATTTGAAGGCTAACAGATGCTCGATTGAATGTAGGAAACAGGCTGGAGGATGGGAACTCATATGGTGGCTTTTATTTGAGCGCCTCGCCACCAGAAAACACTGCAGGACGTAAATACTGAACTGATGAATGTGTGAAACCACATGCTGCTGATTCCATAAATGATTATCTCCAAGCAGATCTCGCTGCTGGAACGAATCGCAACTTATTTTTGGCACAGAAGCTTCTTGTATTCCATAGCACTCATATTAACTGCAGTCAAAAAATCTTTAATGTGTAGAAGATGGCTTGCCACTAATTGCTAATGGTTAAATAAGGATTTTTGGCACAGGAACTTCCTGTATTTAACAGTATTCATAATCAAATGCAGTCAAAGAGTGAAAAAGAAGGCATGCAGCATTGCTAATTGCAGCTAACTACTTGAATTAAACAATGATCAACAAGAAAATTAACAAGAAAACATTCTATTGGACAAACTAAATGTGTATATATTAAATCACAATCTTGCATCTTGATCCAATCTTTTATCGGTCCCCTGGTGAACATAAAGCAAACAATAAATCATTATTTTAAAGTAAATATAATATTATATAAATTTACATATACAAATGCATAATTTGTGAAAAAAAAATCTAAAATATATTATAAATCTATACTTGTAAAGTCATTAAATATTTTTTTGTTTTATATATATTAACTGTAAAAAATAATTACTTTCATTAATTTCATGTTTAATTCAATGTTACATGCTAAAAAAGTGAAAAATGTATATTACATTTAATGAATATTGGTATGTGTCTATATAATTCTTAAATGAATAATTATTTTAATTATTTAATTATAGTGTATATAATAGATTTATATCTATTTTTTTAATTCAAATAAATTATTTGCCTGATAAAACGAGGTGGAGTGCAGTATGAATTTATTTGATTCCCATAAATAATCCTAGGATTAGAATTATAATAGAAAATACATTCTTATTTAGCTTTATATTTTCTCAAGAAAAATCTGAATGCTTTGGATTTAGCAGATGATGGTGCTAATTGGTTTCGAAGGTATTGTTGAGAGTGTGATTGTTGATATGCAGTGTCTAGAGTGTTTTGAGTGGTTGTTTGGCATGTTGCTAGGATGATTAGGGCGCTCCCCAGGTGAACATTTTTACTATACATTTCTAACTGTTATTTTGACTAGATGTCCATATATCCGTTTCCATGCCATTTACTTACTAACTTTCTGAAAGGTCAGTTATTCTTGTGCCAGAGCAAATTTGCATATTGATACGAACTCGTATATCAGGGCGTTTCACTCTGGTGTCTTCTGAGCTCCGTTTACGACTCAACTAAAATAATATGCTGCTCAATGCAGAAGAGTTTGTGTGATTTACAATATTATCTCCAGGAATCGCACTAGCGCTGAGGCAACACACTGTTCCAGAAAGCTGCGCCTCTGTTTTATTGTTCAACAAGCCTAATGAATAAACATTACGATGGGGAAAACAGAACGAGAGCACGAAATCAGGGGGAAAACACAGAGAAAGACAGGTGAATAGCTAATCACACTTGAGGAAACGAGTACAAATGATTGGCAGCTGCTTTTATTGGCTGTCTTGTTACATGTACATCCTATTTCATAGGTTTAGTTCCTTTTCCACCATCCTGTACATGAATTTTGCGATAATGGAATCTATTTTTCCTGCTGAGATAAACCAAGCAAGACTAATGACGGCGACTGCATGGACTCCTCATCAAATATTTAGTGTCATTAGCGGTGGCAGCAGCCTGCCTTCAGGTTCCTCCCTTTCCCCGCATAAGAGGACACCACTGCAGGGGTATTTCCTTCTGCCCCAACACGTGCCCCCACCCTTCACGCAGCACACTTCTGTGGCAGGAAGATTCTACCACCCTGCAGAACAAGTCAGAAAAATTAAGCACACCCCATTTGCCCCATCCGCCATCTTATGAGAGATTTCAAAACGTAGAGCACCAGTCCAAAGTTGATCTTAATATCACACTTAACCACAGGAATTTTACCCACCAGTCACTACGTGCCACATCAGTACTACAAAAAATATTTGTCTTAAAAAAAAAAAAATTTATTTTATAATTATGAATTCAGCTTAATTAACATGACAGGGTTACATAACATTTTTTTTTAAATATACAGTTTATCGTTAAACATTGCAGGACTAATTTATCACTAAAATGTGTTTCAGGTATACAGAATATGTGACCCAGGACCACAAAACCAGTCATAAGGGTCAATTTTTCAAAATTCAGATTTATACAGTATCTGAAAGTTGAATAAATAAGATTTCCATTGGTGTATGGTTTGTTAGGATAGGACAATATTTGGCCGAGATACAACTATTTGAAAATTTGGAATCTGAGGGTGCAAAAACAAATATTGAGAAAATCGCCTTTAAAGTTGTCCAAATGAAGTTCTTAGCAATGCATAATACTAATCAAAAATTAGGTTTTGATATATTTATGGTAGGAAATTTACAAAATATCTTCATGGAACATGATCTTAACTTAATATCGTAATGATTTTTGGCAAAAAAGAAAAATCGATAATTTTGACCCATACAATGTATTGTTGGCTATTGCTTCAAATATAGCTACCAGTGCTACTTGAGACTGGTTTTGTGGTCCAGGGTCACATATTATTTTCAATACTTGATATTAGATGTAATATATTAGATATATAATATTTTTAAAGTATTGTGAAAAAGTCATGTGAAAAATTAGGACACCCTATTCTATGATTTTCCGTATAAAGGCATCATAAAAAATATCTTTTCCTTGTCAGGTCTTAAAATTTGGAAAATAAAACCTCTGATGAACAACAACACATGAGATATTGCACCTTGTCATTATTTATTTAACAAAAATAAAGCCACGATGGAAAAGCCATGTGTGACTAAGTTAGGACACCCTCACTGTTAACACAGGAATTAAGAGGGTAAGTAGCAGTCAGGTACTGCTAATCATATGCCTTTGACTAACTGATCATCAGCAAGAGTGAGCTGCTCTATAAAAGCAAAGATTTTGGAGCCTTCAGGTGTGTGTTAACACAATGGCAAGGAGGTAAGACATCAGCAATGATCTTAGAGAAGCAATTGTTGCTGCCATCAATCTGGGAAGAGTAATCCAAACAATTTGAAGTCCATCATTCCACAGTGAGGAAGTTTATTCTGAAGTGGAAGACATTCAAAGCAGACACCAATCCTCCCAAGAGTGGACATCCCAGGATCAGACCATGTAACTAGAAATGGCAGACAACCCAAGAACTTCACCGCAGACTCTACAGGCCTCAGTTAACATGTTAAATAATAAAGTTCATGACAGTACAATTAGAAAAATATGTATGGCAAGTATGGCATGTTTGGAAGGCTTGCCAGAAGAAAGCCTCTTCTATCTAAAAAAAACATGGCAGCATGGTTTAGGTTTGCAAAGTTGCATCTGAACAAACCATGAGACTTCTACAATAATGTCCTTTGGACAAACGAGACCAAAGTGGAAATGTTTGGCCATAATGCACAGCGCCATGTTTGGTGAAAACCTAAAGAGCACATCAGCACAAACACCTCATCCCAAAAGTCACACATGCTGGTGGAGGGCTGATGATTTTGGGCTTGTTTTGTAGCCACAGGACCTGGGCACCTCACAGGCATTGAGTCGACCATGAACTCCTCTGTATACCAAAGTATTCTAAAGTAAAATGTGAGGACATCCGTCTGACAGCTAAAGTTAGAGAAGCAACATAAACTGGAGCAACATTGTAGAGAAGAGTGGGCCAAAATTCATCCAGAATAATGTGAGAGACTGATGAATTCATACAGAATGATTACTTCAAGTTATTGCTGCTAAAAGTGGATCTACAGGCAACTGAATTATAGGGTGTCCTAACTTTGTCACACATGGCTTTTCCATTTTTGCTTACATTTTGTTAATTAATTAATAACAGGGTGTGATATGACGTTGTTCATCTGAGGTTTTCATTTTCTAAATTTTAACACCTGCCAAGGACCAGATCTTTTTTTTTTAAAGTCGCTAGATGTGTCTAGGCAATTTTTTGGAAGAAGTCGCTAAATCTAGTTGGCAAAACTGTGCATCTCCATTTCTACAACTATGGGCTAGGCCATGGGTCAAACAGAAAATGCGCGCTGCATTAATTGCGCATTAATAAAATTAGTAGCATTAAAATGAATTTGCGTTAATGTGTTAACACGTTAATTTTGACAGCCCTACTTTTAATACAATTATATTACAACGATTTAAGCAATTATAACAATAAAGTATTTTAATTAAATTATTTTTAAAAGTATATATTTTTTCAAAAAGTATATATATTTTGTCATCATACTCAAAATACCAGACAACCAAATTCTATTGATATCCACTATTCAGTGTGCAGGGAGCAGTGAACACTGTAGAAACCTGA